GCTTTGTATGCGGTTTTACCTATAGAGAATGCAGCCCATAAGGCGTCCACGGTGCCGGTGGAGGGGGTGACACCGGGTACAATGGAGGCAGGGCATAGAACATGGTGTTCTTGTCTACCGGTTCTCCTCCTGACACCGCCACCAGAGCAGCCACCAGGCCCGCATTCCCGGCTAGGCTCGGCTCAGTGTAGTTGCTCTTCACACGGACGTCCTGGAATCCATCATGCTTGTCCGGTCCAGCAACCATTGCTCCTTCAATTGTGTTTGGATTTCCTTCTTCACTGTCTCTCCACTTCCATCCTCCTGTGCAACTATGTTGTTTCTGGTTCGGAGGAATCGAGGCTCCTCTGTGATGCACGTGGGTTGGGTACCGCTCCCCAAAACCCACCACATAACTCATGTTCTGCGGGTTTTCCCCAAGAATGTAATCGATCTGCAAAAACGAAACACTGATCAGAGAGGTTATACTTATCAATTTGTATATGCTCCAAGTATACTTGGTTTAGGTTTCATGAACTAAAATCATGACTCTGTAATATACGATATACTTGTTTACTTCATATTTGCTATGTATATAAATTTGAGAAATCGCACCTGCGATTTTGAAAAATCACGGAGGAATTGATTGGGGTAGAAGGTCGTGCCACACTCCCATCCCGGGATACCAGCCTCTTCCAAARACTGACTGTATAGTGTMGCTAAGAAAGCAGCATTGGCTGCATACTGTAGAGGTTTTGGATCTCCAAATTGGATCAAACCTCCTACATAATCAAAGTGAATCATTTAGTTACATAATCAAAGTGATCAAGTAAGTAAATATCAGTGGGAGTTGAAATTTTGTACGTACCTTTGGTTCGGTTGAAGGTCTTGAAATCGGGCAAGTATGAGCACATTGCTCGGCTCGTTTGAATGTGACATTGTCTCAAACCATCTTCATACGGATATCCTGGGTCTAGAAACAATCTCAGCCTGGTCAGTAGCAACTGAAACACACACATAAATACAATTCAGAAACTTGTTGAGAATTGAGTCCACGATTAATCTTGTAATATCATATATATTATAGTTTGTATATATGTAAAGTCAAGCATGTATACATGATGACTACGAAAGGGTGTGTGTGTGTAACTTGTTGGATAAGTTACATCTATTACCAACGGTTACGTAACTTACGGTTATGTAAAGCCCTATCTATATAAAAGTGTACAATGTCTTAATGTAAATTGTCGAGAATAAAGAGAGTTTTTTATTTTGTTCTCTTTATCTCTTCCAACAAAACTAAGCATTAGAAAAATGATAAATCCAAAGCAACTACAAGTAGATAGATTTAGAGAGTAACCTGAGTCCCCAGAAGCTTGTTTTCCCAGCTAAATACATAAGAAGAGGGAGCTCGATCGGCAAAAACATGACTCGTTGTGTGGTCGAGATACGTTAGATCTCCGGTAGCAAAATACAACCAAGTCCCACCCCATAGCAACTCATCAAGTTTGGATGTCTGAGTATCTGCCACCGAAAGCGCAAAGCTGTACAGCGCCTTGGCTCCATAAACGAGCTTCTGCGAGTATTCCATTTCCTCCTTGAAGACGATGGAGGCTGCAGCGAGAGATGCCGTCATCTCCGCCGCAACTTGTGCGCATTCATCAAAACATAGCGATATATGTCTTTTGTAATCTATGTCTTCTGGTCTCATCCAGCAGTAATCGTCATTAGGAGAGTGCACCTGATGGCGTTAAAAAAAAAACTAGAGCTAAGAAGAAGTTGAAAACAGAGGCACAAAGTAGAAATATATTTTTACCTTTAACACCATTTGGGTGGTCGTATTTGCATTGATAAAGAACGTCTTGAGGAAGTAGTCGGTGCCCCATTTGACTATCTCTTTGACATGCCGGAGCTCTCCAGCAGTTTCATACTTTGCGCCGTACTCGATCACGCTCCAGCTGAGCAGGGTCATCGAATACGACATGGAGAAGCTCGACTTCACTGCGTCTCCGCCGTCGTAATACCCCCCGACCAAATCTCGGTATTTTCTCCCGGTATAATTCCCATCTTCAAGGCAAGAATCACCTCTCCACGAGGTGTTATAGTCAGCCGTCCTAGGCAACTTCCCAGCTGCGCAAAACAGATAAAAAAAAAACATGAACAATTAGATTCCGACGACTACACTTTGACACATGAACAAGCCAAAGTTTCATTAAAGTCTGAATCAAGGAGTGTTTCAAAGTTTCTTTGGTGAATACGAATTCTGGTTAAGATTTGAGGAAAAAGGAACTAGCTGCAGGTTTAGAGTTTTGAGGTTAGTCTCAGAGATGTTCATGGTAAGTAACAAAGGTGGGATAATTCTTGCTAATCAATGTTGAAAGAAGATCAGTTTTCAAGCCCCAAGTAGCAAGGAAGGACAACGACTTACATTGCTGCGCATTGAAGAATGTCAGTGACTTGTGCAGGGCGAGAGTGTAGTTGAAGCGAGGAGGCTCCTCCTGGTGGCTGCGGCTTGGAACCGCCCTCTTAACTAAGGTGGTGATGAGACCGGAGACCAGGATTACAATAACGAACAACAAGATGATCCGGCGCGGAGCTCTCTTCCTCCTCTCTTCCTCCTCGAGCAGCCAGCGGCGCTCCATCTCGGGGAGCTCGACATTCAGGGATTCTGTCCTCCTCATCTGATTAATGCCACAATAACAAAAACGGAATTGATTAAAAGTCAGTTGACAAGAGTTTCACCTATTTAAACAAAAATCAAATGCATTGAACAAGGAATTGTTGATTGCATAGAAATGGAAACTTGAAAACAAGAAAAAGCTTCTTATTTTTTTTACTTTGTGTGACAGCCACCAAAGGAAACGAAGGAGGAGAAAGAAAACAAAAGATTCGACTTCTCTCTCAACTTCTTCTTCTCCGCAAGCAGAGAATGTAAAGCAGAGAAGCTAGTGTGTTGTTTCCGTTTGTGTTTAAAAACCAATTTTGATTCCCAAACTATGATTCCTTACTATTTCAGAAAGTGGCGCCAACATGCTAACCTTTCTGTTTTAAGTCTTTCCTTTCTCGACATGGGCCTCTTGCGTCTGGGCTTTGGCGTGTCTTCCTTAAAATAGTTGTAAAATTCAAATATAACAAATATTCTGCTTCACATTTATTTTGACTCGGGGATGATTTAATTTTTTTTGTTTTGTTAAAGGGTTGGGATGATTTAAATTATTACGCATGGAAGAAGAAAAATTGGTATTTCTTCATATTAAAAATCTCTATTTTATTAATATCTTAAAAATATATATATATTAAAATATTTACGATATATAACTAAAATTTAAAAATTACCATTTTCTTAAACATGTACATTGATTATTTTTATTTTATAATAATTATCTCCTATATATAAACTAGTAGTAATATATAAAAATAATTTTTAATTTATATAATAAACATTCTACAGTGGCCGGAGAGACAAGAGAGGAGTTGATGATTAATACAAGCTGATAAAGATAAAAAGCCAATTCTTTCAACATCATAAGTTACTCTTTTTCATTCCTTTCTTTTTTATGGTATATTTTTTTAATTTTATTCTACTTTTTAAATTCTATATTTGAAACCTTTGTTTGTATGGAAGCAATAAGAAACGGTTTCAGTGATAAACATTTGACATCATTTCTAATCAAGTATTTTATGATTCAGTGATTGACACTAACAAACACAGAAACTACTCCAACGACTACTACAGATTGTCCACACGTTAATTACAAACGACTGATTTTTGTTAACAAACACAAAATTGCACTTGACTGGCTAATTTACTATTAATTAAGGTGACTGTTGGCACCTAATTACTCAACGACTGATTTTGTTAACAAACACAAAATAGCACTTGACGTACTAATTTACTATTAATTAAGGTGACTATTGGCACCTAATTACTCAACGACTGATTTGTCCACACGTGCAAATTTACTATTAATATATTCTTATTTTTTCTATCTCGGTATTCAGTAATATAATTTGATCTAGAAAATTATAAAGTTTACAGAAGAACATAATATATTATTATTATTATACAGAAAATCTAGTAAACTTATGTTTTTACGATCATGAATTAATAATCATAATGAACCACAAACACTAATTGCATTCAGTAGCAATACTATTTGGCATAATTAAAAAAAGTAACAAGACCAGTTTCGTTGCTGGTAGTGAGAGTGATTTTCACCACAAAAGCAGACGACAATACCCTCACGCGCACATGTTGGTTTTCCTTCTCTCCCAGAACCGGACCAATTATTGACGTGTGTCATTAACGCACACCATCCATTCTTTTCTTTTTTTATCATCTGAAATATTTTATTAAACATAGTAAGATCCGCAATTGGAATGTGTTTTTGGAATACAGTGGTGGGATACGAGGATGAATTACCGAAGAACTATACTGAGATCCTCAGATCAAAATACGAAAACCTAAACAAATGATCAAACTATGCTAGAAAAACAAGCTAACGTCAAAGAAAAAAAGACTCACACATAACTCCATCTCTGACCAGGTGAATGCCATCGTTCCAATGAAACTCCAGACCATGTAGTCCATGCTTCGATTCAGGTAGCGATATAGGGGCGAGGGAGCAGCAAAAGCATTCGAGACACAGTCCCCGAATACTGACCCTAATCTAATTCCAATAAAGAGTGACAAGAGCCAATATGAACCATGAAGAGGAGAGCAAAACAACAAGCTTTGTATCCAAACAAAACCCACGTTTCTTCATATTGATACACAACCCAATACACGACGGCAAGGTGTTGGTATGCATAGAGCCAATAGAAGAGATAATTACACCGTAGATAGTGAGGATACTAAGCAGCTTATCAGGGAAAGACAACCCTGAGAACRTCATCTTCGCCAAGAAACAGTCACACTTATCAAGCAGCCCCAAAACTCCACCAAAAGCAGGGCCAAGATACACAAARGGAACCAAAGACACCAAAACCAGCCAAAAGGAAATATACCATGGACTAAACCTCAGAGACATCAGCAAGCCTAGACACATACCCTTCGATCATTYAAGCAAAATAAACAAGTTCTAAGCCGCAAACCATAATCAAACCGACGGCCTAATCCGAAGAAAGAAGACAAGACCTCCTCATAAGAAGGATACAAGAATCAGAAGAAACCAATGGCCCCATACGATTCTAAGAAGAGATTGTAGACAACTAACCAGGGGAGAGAGCCAGAGCCGGACCACCATCCTATCTCCAGCCACACCACCACCATCCAAGCCATAGTTACCGTCCAAACAACCAAGTTTTAACACGCTGAAGACCTAGCCATCGGTTGAAAATCTGCTCCGAGCCAAAACCGCCGACGAATCACAGATCGGACCCAAGCGACTCCACACGAACCAGATCCCATGCCGATCCTTCTCCACGCCATCGCCGAATTTCAAACGGCTCATGAGACCTCCAAACAAAGCAGGACAAATCACTTCCTTCTTTAGCCACCGACAAGATCAGATCTGCAGAGCCAAAGACGATAACACAAACAACGAAGAAAATAAACTAAAAGCGGAGACCTCTCACGGCGACCGCCGCCGCCGAAAGGGCCAAAACCTAGATCTGAAAATCGATTCTTTTGTCGCTTTTTAGAGAGAGATCGGGACGTGGCATTAGCACCATCCCATCATAATAAATGTTTTTGTTTTTCTTAACCGACTTTTCAACATTAACATAATGTCTTGATATATGATTTTAAGGTGGACGATGTAGTGGGAAAAAGAAATTTAAGGTAGATCGTAGTTTGCGATGTATGAATTTGGAAAGTTAAGATCTAATTTAGCGGTGTAAGGAATGTATATATATATATTGCTACTTTTATATATACCCTGTTATTTTTATTTGTAATTTCTTGCACCACACTTATTGAGGGTTATCTTAAGGAGGCATTTCCAAATAATTTATATAATTCAAAATAAATTTTATTAACGCATTTAATAATGATTGATTTGGGTTTATTATGTGCACTTAGGGTTTAATTTTTGGTTTTAGGGTTGAATTTGTT